ACCAAACAACAAAAAACTAAACACTTAAATTTTTAATTTCTTATCAGTTGTAGCAAGTGTTCTTAATAAGCATTTTACCTCACCACTAATGATCAACAAGCAAAAAATTGAAGTAGAGGAATATCATCGCAACGAGGAAGACAGTATCAGAGACTGGGGTAGAGAGGATCATAGAAGGACAATTAGAGTTACTAAACTGCCCCCAGAAACTTCAGAAGAAGAAATAGAATTGTTCTTTGAAAACAACAAGAAGAGTGGGGGCAGAGAAGTTGAGAAAGTAGAGTTTGATGAGACAACTAATAGTGCTATCGTCTGGTTTGAAGATGCGAATGGTATGTAAAGACTTTTTCTTTATATAGATATAACTTCAGGATGATTTTTTACGCATTTCCTTCGTATATTATTAGTGAGTGTGCAATTATTCCTCAAGAGACAAGAAATGTTAAAAGAACACCAATCTTATGTCCAACCTATATCACTTTTGATTATATTTTATAATTAAATTTTATTGATAGTTGTAGACAATGTACTTCAGAAGCATGAGAACTCGCCACTTATGATTAACAAGCAGAAAATAGAAGTTGAGGATTACTGTCCATTACAGAAAGACAGTAATGATAGCTCAGAAGATGAATCGGATGAGGGAGGAGCAATAAAAGTAACAAATCTCTCTCCAGAAACCACAGAAGAACAAATATTACTCTTTTTTGAAAATCGCAAGAAAAGTTCTGGTGGAGAAGTGGATAAATTGGTGTACGATAAAGATTCTCACAGTGCTATTGTTTGGTTTCGTGATGCTGATGGTGTGTATGTTTTGTTTGTTTGTTGTTTAACTTTCCTTCGAGAATTTTTCACTCATATGGAGACGCCACCACTTGCCAGTGGAGAGCTTCAAATTTTTGTCCTATACTCGGCACTCAGGGCCATTGGGCAGTGAGGGATTTTTTTTTCATGCCAGCACCTACTACGACACGGGGCCTCATTTGAAGGAACGGTCTCCATCTCCCACAGTGGGATTCAACCCCGCGACGTAAGGATCAACTCCTTACTTTGCGATCTTAGAACAGACGCTCTATTTAAAGCGCCACGCGGGTGGGTGGTGTATATGTAATAATGTGTTTATGAACTATCATTGAAATTTCACTACTAGAACTTAGTGTAAGATATTTTTCTTTCCAGTTGTTTTAAGTGTTCTCCAGAGAGTTTCACTTCTTTTAAACAAAAGGCAAATTTATGTGAAAAAAGTACGTTTGAATGGGAAAGATTTTGAAAAAGAAGCAGATGAAGATACAGTGGGTCATTGTTGCACTATTGAGGTAAGAGGTATGAAGGAAGCAACATCCAAAGAAAAAATAGAATTGTACTTTGACCACAAGAAGTCAGGGGGAGGTGATGTGCTAAGCGTCAAAGGTGAAGTGGAAGATGGACTACTTTACATTACTTTTGAAAATGAGAAAAGTAAGTAAAGTTGGTTTAAGAGATTAAATGAATTAGATTGAACTGTGGCAAACCGATATTTTATTCTTGATGGCTTTTTAAACTTGTTTTTAACAGGTGTGGAACAAGTTCTTAGACAAGAGCATACAATTGATGGAGCTTTCTTGGACGTCAAGCGTCACCAGCCTTCCAAGCCGATTCCGGTATACCCAGACAGGATACTTGTCACAGGGTTCAAAGCAGGAACAACGAAATATGGACTTATCAATTTTTTGGAAGCCAGAACAAAAGAAGATGTGAAAGATGTAGTTTTCAATCAGGAGCAGGACATGGCAATTATTACCTTTAGGGAATTAATCGGTAGCTACCTCTTTAAAAATTCCGATTTTTTTAAAAAAAATACTGATTCCCGAAAATACTAACCATGTATTTACGAAGTATGATCTTACTAACAGAACGTACATGAACTCATTGACTTGTTGGACGCACAGAGCAGTGGGAAACTCTATTCCTTAATGTATACCACAGTTTTGAAACTTTTTGACTTTTATGTAAGTCGATGAAGTAAAAATTTTGAAAAATTTTCTTGGTTGATAAAACGTGCATTTGGCAGATAAATTTCAATTCCTGTTTTCATATTTACTTGAAAAAAATTCGAGTAGTAAGATTTGAAGTGGACCAATCTGCAACGTCAAATAAGACAATTGTCAAAAGTTCAAGTTTTTGGAGAATAACGATTATAGATATAAATATAAAATATCTGAATTACTTTAATTGATTGGATTAAACATTCAAATATGTAAACAAAGTATATGCACGTACAGGTATAAAATAATAATAATTTGAAATCCCTATATTTCTACGGGCTTTTCGTCTGTTTTTTCTATTGGAGTTGGACAGTGGCACCCTTGCATGCTATAGCTTGTCTTTATATAACACCCCCGGCTTGAAAAGCGGTAGGTAATACAGTGATTTGGATGTCCGTTCGTCTAGCTGTATATGTCCTAAACCAATAAATGAAATTTAATGACTTTCACAGAATCTTTGATACATAGTTTCATTGTGCACCTCCAATTTTACATTTTGATTCGAAACATAATCTTGGTTTCCCAGAGCAAAATATTGACACTGCCACTCTTTCTATAATATTGAGAGATACCCATCTCTTATCCGCAGCTCACCCTATACCAGTGAATAAAATTCAACAATACTTTCACAGATTCTTTATTATAAAATGCAGTTGTGCAGCTCTTATTTTACTTTTTGATCTGACACTTGTTTTGGGTCTCTCATAGTAAGACATGGACTTCTCCATTATAATCATATGGGATGCAGGGGTTATCATTTAGTGAGCTCGGTTCTCAGAGTATCTATTACTTTTTTTACGTTTTCACATACATGGAGAAACCATTTAAGTCATTTTAAATACAAAGGACAAGAAAACATTTCCTTGTCTACCAAACATTTATGACTTTTCTGTAGGAGTGAATTCAGAATCAAAACACGTGATCAAGTCCAGTGCATCGCCTGTGCTAACGAAGCGGCCATTTTTTAAAAAGTAGAATGTCACCACGGTGTTTTTAAAACGTCATAAAATTCGACTTTGTTAAAGCATAAACCCCAAAAATTAAGGGAGATATATTTAATAATACAATATTATATGAAGGAATTTTTATTTCCATTCAAAAAATACAGAGTAGTATTTTCTTTTCCGTAGGATTTTAAATATAATTTACCGATTTTTAATTGCAACATTTAGGCACTGCGCCAACCTTCTACCCCAGAAAATAAAATGTATCATTCAAACAGGGTTTACTTGTGTAATTACTCTATATTTATCCACAAATTTATTAATTAGTATTCTTTAAATCTATGTTCAAACTTTAATTAATATATGGCATCGGGTTCCTAGCGCGATTACGGAATTTTGGGACAACCCTCGTAGAGTGATAATATTAGAACTTAATCGATGAGGAAGAAAATAGACATTTTTCTTTTTTCAATGCAGATTTTACAAAGATAGAGGACATATGTCAAAAGAAACCACTTGTCAAATGCTACCTGACTGTGAAAAAAGTTCATATTTCTAGATGTATAATTGTGTCTGGATTTGCGATGAACACGATAGATCTAGAGAGTAAAATGAATCTTTACTTTGAAAATGAAAGGAGAAGTGGTGGTGGTGGCGTTACTGATATAAAAATCAACCATGATGATGATACATGTATGGTGTACTTTGAAGATCATAAGGGTATGTTTTCTTAAGACATTTCTAACAAAATTTAAAAAAAAATCAAAGAGCATGACTTTATTACCGATGAGTAGTCGTTAAGTAGCTGCAGAACTATAGCTCTCTGTTTGAGAAAATTAGGACAGATAAAGCAGAGAGCAACAGATCCAAGTGGTACAAAACCTTCCATTTATGCCGCCATTTTTTTGTCGCTAACTTTATGTATTATTCCTTGTAATTAATGCTTTGTATGGCTTTTATAATGATATCCGATGAATGATCATGCTATTCACTCTTTTTTAATACTTTATTTACCTTTAAGTATGGCAAGCCCTTTTACTATTTATTCGGAAAATAAATTTCATCTGAAAATTACAGAGATATCTCTCATTATAGAGAGATATCTCTTAAAAATAAGAGATATCTCTCAACTTAAAGAGATATCTCTTATTCTTAAGAGATATCTCTATAAAAAAGAGATATCTCTTAGAGTTAGAGAGATATCTCTTATACTTAGAGAGATATCTTTTTTTCTTTGAGAGATATCTCTCTCTCCTTGAGAGATATCTCTAATCGTTAGAGAGATATCTCTTTCACCTAGAGAGATATCTCTTTCACCTAGAGAGATATCTCTTTCACTTAGAGAGATATCTCTTTAAGTAAAAGAGATATCTCTCTAAGTTTATCTTAAGAGATATCTCTCAAAGTGAAACAGATATCTTTCAAAAGGGTCTAAAAGAGATATCTCTAAAGCAAAAAGAGATATCTCTTAATTGCAAAGAGATATCTCTCTTCATTATGTTTATTCAAATTCCATTTGAAATGACTTCTCCCTTTACCGGAAGTAAACTTTTTATTCATTATTTCAAAAGCTGAGAAAATTCGGTCCAGAGTCTGTAAGTCTCGTCACGTGACTCGCGAGATTTTACGATAATATTAACTTCCTCGCACATGGTCATGGTGAATGTGTATTGATTTCAGCATGTTTCTGGTTTACACACAGCTTTCAGGGGGAAATTAAATAGTTTTACAAAGCCGAAGGGTTGTCCGACTTACGATGTATGAATTTCATGTCATAAGAAATTGGGTGCGAGCGTCCACCAGGAATATTTCGGTCGAAATACAGGTAAACAAATCACAGAGTGTCATCCGTTTCTTGTTTATTTTGAGGGAAAATGAAGTGTTTTATTCTTAACCGAATGAAATGGTTTCGAAATTATCTTTTGCCTTAATTTGTTAACAGATTTCTCTTGAATCCGAGATGTTATTTATCAGCTGATAATAGAGGAGGAGTTTTGTCATTGATGGGTACCAACGTCATATTCATCATAAATTATGATATTGTGGCTGGCTGGCTGCATCACTTTTGTTTGGGTAATTTTTTAATATACTTTTTTTTTCAGTAAACTTGAACCTGCTTTGTATCAGTGGATTATTTTTTTGAGCATTAAATGTTTGTAGCAATTTAGATCTATTTCACAAGGATAAGATGTTCATATATTTTGCCATGCATCTCTCTGCATAAAATAAAATTTAGATGACCATATTTCTCACTTTAGAGAGTATGTTTCCTGTTTATAGAACTTGGTTTATGGATTTTGGTAAATTTTTCTGTCTGTTCAAATTCGCCTGCATGGCACAGTGGTTAGAGTGTCTGCTCTAGTAGAGTCGCGAAATCAGGTTTTGATCCTTACATCATTAGTTTGAATCCCACCATGGGATGTGGAGACCTGTCCTTGGGATGATACAGTATAACTGTGGCCCCTTGCTGCAGTAGGTCAGGTGTTGGCACAAAAAAAGATCCCTTCCTGCTCAATCAGTCAATGGCCCTGAGTGCTGAGTATAGGTCATTAGCCTAGGACAAAATTTGCAGCTCTCCACTGTCGTTTCCATATGAGTGAAAAATTCTTGAGAGGAACGATAAACAATATACAATCAATCTGTCTGTTCAATTTATTCACACAACTGTATACACTAAAACTTAATTTATAGCAGAGGTACAAGAGAACCAGTCACAGATAAAAGATGCAGTTCCTAAGAGATCCAAAGTCAGCAGCACCTAAGACTAAACTGACTTTGAATTATCAGCATCCAAAACAATGCGAATCAAATACAGGTATGAAATTGATGCAACAAAATAAGTTCTAAGACAAATATAAAATTTATTTTTTATAAGACATAGCATACCAAAATGACTAATATATACTAGTCAACAACTGGCCAGCTTTAAAAATATTTTTGTTTGATGTATTCCTACCCACTTTTATCAAGGTTGGTAGGTAGGTCGGTAGGTACCGGTAGTATTTTTATGCCCCACCATGATTATGGCCTGGGCATATAGTATTTGTCATGTCTGTCTTCCGTCTTTCTGTCCATGCGTCACACTTTGCGTTTAGCTCAGTTCAAATCCCAGTTTCAAAGAAACTATACAGGATATTTCATCAAACTTTGCTGATAGATATTGATGAGAGCTATGCAACTGCATCAACATTTTTTGTCCTTGACCTTTCCTTTGACCTTGACCTCACTTTTCTTAAATTAGTGTTTAGCTCAGTTTTAAACATACCATTCAAGATGGTGTAACAGCAAAACTCGGTTATAACGAAGTTGCTGCTACCTATGAAATTACTTCGCTATATCCATAATTCATTATAATCTTATAAGAAATTCATCGAAATTTCATAGCTGGGAATCCAAGATGACTTCGCTATACCCGTGAATTCGCAATATTCATGTTCGTACTAAACGAGATTTACTGTATCAAACTTACCATACTGATGAGAGCTTTTCAACTGAAACAAACATTTTTTGACCTTGGCCTTTCTTTTGACCTTGACCTCAATTTTTCTAAATTAGTGTCAAACTTCATATGGTGATACATTCTGATGTAAGCAATTCAACTGCATCAACATGACCTTGACCTTTTATTTGACCTTGACCTCACATCTCTGAAATAAGTGTCAAACTTCATATGCTGATACATACTGATGTAAACAATTCAACTGTAACATTTTTCAAGATATTCTGATCAAATTTCATACGAATTTTCATTTTGCATGACTAATATACCCTCGGCGGGCATTCCTGTCCTGTGGACATATTTCTATTTTTTTATGCCTTACAGCATTGAATAAATTGATAACTGTCATATTTAAAACCACAGACTCAGAAATCTATTAATGTTTTCATTTAGTTAGAATGACTTTGTATTTATAAATTAAAAAGCATCCTAAAAAAATATGATACCTTATCTTTAAAACATCTATGGAAATTAAGGGGGGGGGGGTTAAGAAAATTTAAGTGCCCCCAAAAAATGAATGCAAATGGGTAGGGGCTATTTTAACAGGTTGGTCAAAGTACATCAAACAAATCATTTTTTTATTGTTGGCCTAGGAAGGGTACCCTAAATATGAAAATGCAACAAATATTTTTAAATAAAAAATTTTAAATGAAAATTTTTTCTATGTATAAAAAGGACAATTTTTTATTCTAATTTTCTTGTAAAATTATTGATAAAATTTAATTAAGAAAGTTAAGATTTGTATCAAATAAATTGATGTTTGTAAGGTCAGGCACCTTAGTCCTACATTAATATCAGTTGCACATACAACTACGGCCTATGTAATAATTCAAATGGCATGTTACAGAAGCTTGTTAAATTACAGGTTTTGTCTGTACATCTGGCAATCTTAGGACAATACTGGATGGTTTTAATTAAGAACTGATCCAGCATGAAGACCAGCCATGTGCCTCATCTGTCATGACATTATTAAATGTAAGTGTTCCTACAAGCATTTCTGAGTACTGGTATATGATTGCCTTACTTTCCAAAACTTTTTTTAAATGCTTTATTTTGAAGCATTTTCCATATCCATATTTACACTGTACAAACACAAGACTATTTTCACCCACTCACCACCACAATTGCACACACTCACACAGTGCACTTTCTAAACTTAAAAATAATGAGATGTTTGTAAAATACTTATGCCCCCCTCCCACCACATTGGAATTTTTTTTATCTAAGTCCAAAAGGACATAACTCTGTCAAAAATGGTGCAAGCATACCCAAAAGAGAACTTGACCCAGATATTCATCTGATAAATCTGTATACTAAATTGCATTTCACTATGTGCAACCTCTGCAAAGGAAATGAACGGAAGCTGCAAGTAATTGGAATTTTTCTAAATCCAAGGGGCATAACTCTGTCATGAATGACGTGATGATCATACCCAAAACAGAACTTGACTAGATATTCATCTGATATACCTGTAAGGCTGTATACCAAATTTCATTTCAGTGCAATGGTTGTGAAGAAAATGAATGGAAACTAAATGGACTGACAGACAGCGGCAAAGCAATATGCCCTCCTTTCTTCGAAGGGGGGCATAATAAATGTACATGTACATATATGTAAACAGATGACAGTTAAACATACAATTTATCCAAAAACAAAACAGATGTACCAAAATGTGTAGATATAAATTAACAAAAAAATACAATTTTGATTTTTTCATCACTTGTTGTACACATTATCATACAGGACCCATTAACTGAGTATTTTGTCCTTACATTGAAAAACTTTTTCACAACAATTTTCTATGTTTCTGTAATACTTAAATAACTTTACTGCATCAATAAATAATGGCTTACTATCTTGTGATCTTGAATAGTAAATAAATTTTTTGCAACTAATAAAAGAAAATTTTTTAAACAGCTTAATTATTACCAAGTAAAACAGTTCTTTTGGATATTTTGTAATCTTTTTCAATGACACTAAACCATTGTACAAATTGATTCCAAAATTCAGGCACATTTATATATACAATCATAAAATAAGTGAATTATTGTCTATTGTTTATATCCTGTTTCTATGTCTGTTTGTCTGTTGTCAACTTTAACCTCCACCATAACTTTTGAACCATGAGAGATACAGACTTCATATTTAATATGCCTACTCCACTAATTAAATTCTTACAAAAGACACCAAGGTCAATGACCTTGTGACCTTGACTGTGACCTATATGCTAAAAATAGCTTTTTTGAACTTTCGCCATAACTTTTGATACATTAAAGATAGAGAAATCATATTTGGAATGCCTTCTTCACTAATTATGCTCTTTCAAATGACACCAAGGCCAGTGAACTTTTGACCTTTACTGTGACTTTAATGCTATAAATACCATTTTGAACTTTCGCCATACCTTTTTTACCGTTAAAGATAGAGACTTCATATTTGATTTGCATACTCCACTAATTAAGCTCTTTCAAATGACACCAAGGCCAATGACCATGTGACCTTGACTGTGACCTAAATGCTTAAAAGAACTTGTTTGAATTTGTTCCCGCCTGGTGCATAGTGTTTCACAAACACATCTTGTTTTGAAGTAGTTTTAATATTTGAATTTCTGTAGAATTTTATGTTACATATAAAAACCAAAAATTTTTAAAATCAAAATCATTTTTATTTCAGTACTTTGTGACAGTGGGATGATGGAATATTAAAGAATGGACATGGCTCTATATTACTGCATCAGAGATCAATCCAGGTTTACTTAATATAAATCGAAGAAAAACACTTAAACAGTCATGGAAAACATCCTAGAAGTGAGGATCTACAAGAAATTAAGTGAATACTTTCTTGAATATTTTCAATGTTATGAAATGCTTGTGTACATCCTTTATATATAAAACTAATTACGCATGTAACTACCAAATATACAAATTAAACTTCAATCCTTAAATTTGTTCTTAAGTTTATTTATAGTGTATTAAAATAAGCATGCAATATTTGTCTTGTTATACTGAAGGATTAAATGTTAAGAAAATGTCGTTCATTGAAAAAAAAGTGCAATCATTCTGCGCAGTTAGCAATTTTTATGGAGAACCTATCGATGTGCATTTGCAATTGTTGGGATTTAATGACAGGCACACAGTAGAAGAATTGTACTCGTTAATAAATGTTTTTTACCAATCAAATTTCAAATTGATAATTTGATAAGAAAGCATATGACAAATTTAACTATCATTATGGTCCATTGACTTACCATGGTGTTTGAGCTTTTGTGGACTTGATAATTAACTAGTAAGTTTGAAATATTGAAGTTAAGAAAAGTGCAGCCCAAAAATTTATCCTGTACCTGATTTTAAATGAGTGCCATCATAACTACTTGGGTGTTGCCACACTCTTCATGAGTATAAGAATTATTGGATATGCCTCATTAACAGATCTATACTGGTACATGGATGACACATTCAGTCGAAGCATTGTCCCTTTTTTCAGTACCTCCTGGATCCCTGTAAAATATAATGACAAATGTAGATAAAATGTTTTACCATTAAATGATGAATGTCTTATGGACCCAGTGCAGACCTGTTTGGTGACACAATTGGATAAATTGGGGATTGTTCTAGCTAAGACAAATAAGAAAATTCCTTTTTCTAATGCCTATTTTAAGAAAATAAAATGTCTTTCTCATAATTGTTAGAGTATTTGGGAACAAGGGCACCTGAATTATGGATAATACCCCCCCCCCCCCCCCATTTTCTTTTTAAAAAAATTAAAATAAAATATTCAAAAAAGGGGGAATTATTATTAGATTGAAAACTGTTCGTTATTTCCATATCCTTCTCATCCATACTTCAGGTGCCTGTGTTTGGGAAGGGGGTCATATGGCTTTACAGTTAATATATTGATCGTACATGTATGTTGTTTAACGTCCTACAGTTAATATTGAAAATGAATATATACATCCCTGTATACATGAAAGAAGTAATGTTGGACGTGTTTATTTTTGGATTATTTATTAATTAAAAAACATTAATTCTATCAGGATTATGTTTAATCGACATAGTAATCAACCCTGTATTCCCGTGATCGATGAAATTGGGTACATGTATTTCGAATTTGTTTTTATTGACTTTGCATTCTATATCCCCGGCTTAGCTGTCCTGTGAGCTAAATAAATGAAATAAATATAATATGGAACCAATCTTTGGGGGACGTTTTGGTTTGAAATCCTGTTACTTTCGCTTAAAACAATAAAGAAATTAAACGTTGTTTACCTGTATTAATCAGTCCATTGTATCCTCTTCTTTTCAATAACCAGAAAACGAACGACTTAACAGACATTACTTCCTGTTTCGCTTTCGTTTTTAACGGGAGAATTAGTTATTTTATTTAAAGGGTGATTTGAAAAGAGATATCTCTTTCATTAAAAGAGATATCTCTTTAGCTTAGAAAGATATCTCTTTTTGAAAATCTAAAGAGATATCTCTCTAATTAAGAGAGATATCTCTTTTAAACTTGTTAAAGAGATATCTCTCTAACTGTAAGAGATATCTCTCTCGCTTAAAGAGATATCTCTCTAGCTTATAAAGATATCTCTCTTACTAAAAGAGATATCTCTATTTCAAAATAAGATATCTCTTTTGTTGAAAGAGATATCTCTCTAAAGTCTAAAGATATCTCTATTAGTCAAAGAGATATCTCTTTAAGCTAAAGAGATATCTTCATAAGCTAAAGAGATATCTCTCTTTGCTAGAGGGATATCTCTCATTTTAAAAGAAAAATTTATTTTACGAATAAATAGTAAAAGGGCTTGCCATATTTAAGGGGTGCGAAACAGTCCAGTATTTACATGTAGTTTAATAATATTAGTATCGATTTAAAAGAGTCCCATTTCGACGTCCGTAACCACAAATATTATTTTGTTTGCGTTGAAAGGTAAGTTAGATGTCAGGAATTAGAGTTAAGTGCATGATTAATTATTAGATACAATATTTGAAGTTGGGGAAAGTTTAAATTACAAGAAATATTACCAGTAGTGAGCGACTAAAACCGGTTAAGCGTAAATTGAAGGTTTTTACAAAACTTGGCTCAAGTACAAGATAAGACGAAAATAGTTTCAATTTTTTTTCTCGTAAGAATAAATATTTTATGCATATTAATTTATTTTCCTAAATGTGCAACATTAGCATATTTTGCATATAAATCAAATGTAAATATAATGAATATTTGGGGCCATTATTGGGAAATTAGTTATATAAATCAATTGCATTCTATATTGTCAGACAATTATTATATGTACGAATAAATTTTTAGAATGTTCGAAAAAAAATATGTATCTTGCATATGATTTTTTTAAAAAAATTATCAATGAATGTAAGGTGCACTTAGTATAGGTCGACTGATTAACAGGTCGACAGGTTTACAGGTAGACAGGTTGACAGGTACACAGGTCAACAGGTTGACATCAATAGTACTGTTAAGTTGTCGATAGGTCGACAGGTTGACAGGTTTACAGGTCGATAGTAAGACGGGTTGACAGGTTAACATCAATAGTAATGTGAAGTTGTCGACAGGTCGACTGGTTGACAGGTCGACAAGTAAACAGGTCGACGGGTTGACAGGATGACATGTCGACAGGTAGACCTGTCTTTTTATTTTATATGTAATTCTGCTGACCTGACAACATGTCGTCATAGGTTTGGATTGTCAAATGGAGATGTATACATCTAACTGTTATTAGACATTGTGCATATGAAAAGACAATAAAAATTAGGCATTTGATGTACATGTACATATATCTTATGATATAAGTGCATGCCCCCTGTAAGATGATACTTGTAGTGATATAACTAAATACATGTACATATACATTGAATTATAAAAAAAGCTTCTATCTGTCGACCTGTCTACCTTTCGTCCTGTCGACCTGTCAACCTGTCTACCCGTCGCCCTGTCTACCTGTCGACCTGTCAAATTGTAAAAAAAGGTTGTGTTGTTATTTTTGATGTATTCTTGGTTTTTATTTTACTAAATTATTTTTATCAAAGTGCTTCTAAATATTCATTAAAAAGTAATTTACATTTATTGTTTTGTACATATATTTATATGATATATAATTTATATAATTATACATGAATATTTATGATCTTTTAAAAATATTATAATAACAAAACCGATTTATTGCAGATTATGTGGATGGGACTATTTTCGTCTTATTTTGTACTTGAATCGAAGGTTTTTGTACAACTTGGATCTGTTGCTCTCTGCTTTAACTGTCCAAATTTTCTCAAGCAGAGAGCTACAGTTCTGCAGCGAGTCGTACATGTAACTCAGATCAAGTACACAATGAAAGAAATATCCAGCAGTTCGGGTTTTTTATCTTGTCTACGTCACCTTTTATTAAAGTAATTCAACAAATATAAACAATGTTCTGGAAAAAGTGTTTCTAATTCTGTTGGTGCAAATATGTAAAAGGAAAACACTTCCAGTATCTGACTTAAATACATTATCTCAGATAAAATAACAGATTTGTTGTTTCATTTTAGTGTGTGACAGAGTTTGCCAAAGAAGTCATATGCTAGAGAATATGAATTTGACTGTACATACATACCATGACTGTCTTGGAACCCCTTATAACCCCGAGGAGGGACCAAAATTTACACCAGTTGATCCAATGGTTGTGAGAAATCTTGACCTAAGAAAAATGAAATTTGTGCACGTTTCGGAAGATTTTAAAGAAATCATTAATAAGGAAGCAAAAATGGCACATGGTATAATTAAATGGCCAAGCAAAGCAGCCTCAGAAATAACAGTGGAATGCACTTTAACAAAGGATATGAAAGATTGTCGAAAATTGGCAAAAACATGGAAGAAACATATGGCAGATGTTATAAATAAGTTGCTGGAAATCCTTCACGTGGAGACCATTAGCCTTCTGCAGGAAGCGTGGCAGATGGTTTTTGATGAAATTAGAAAACTAAATAATCCAAATTCTAACAAAGTAAGATTTGTTAAAGACAAACGCAGTTGTAACATTGCTATTGTGGGCTATCCAAATCACGTTGGAGAGGTAAAAAAAGATGTTGAACTGATCAAGTCTAGAGTTGTTAATGAGATTGAGAGGAAAAAGAACCAATTGATTGAAATAGTGAAGTTGAAACACTATGAGGTTCTCCTTTTGATTAAAGATCATTTTAAAGAAACGACAGAAAGCACCTTTCCAAATATTAAAGTTACTATCGATGAGAATGATGAAACTTTGATCTTAGATGGTCTTTATTCAGATGTCAAACAAGCAAAAACGTCAGTGTCTGAAAAATGTCAGCAGATATGCCATGCTTCAGCGGGAAAGTTTTCAAAAAACAGACAAGAATTTTTAAGCAGGAATGAAGTTTCTGAACGAATATTAGAGGAACTGAATAATAAGAAAATTATGAGCTGCTTTAATATTAAAAATGACGAATTAATATGTTATGCTTTCACTGATGATCAAGCAGTTGAAGCAGCCCATTTGATAAAGAAGAACATTGTGGAGTCCCCCATTGATGTAGAGCCTGACTCTGTAGATCTCTTAACCTCCGATAAATGGATCAAAGAAGTAAACAGTTTAAAAAGTTCCAAAACGTTTGGGGGATTTCTACATATAATCACACTGGTTGACCTTAGAAAAATTATCATTGTAACATTGAATGAGCATCTGGGTCTTGCAAGAGAATTGATAGAGAATTTCTTTTCTAACAATTCCATTCTGAGTGATATGATGGAAATTCCTTCAGGTTTTTTGAAAGTTTTAGACCACTATTCTAAAGAAATCATTAAAGAAATCTGTGAAGATTTGAAAGAACAACAAGTTCAGATAACGAAAACTGGAAACAAAATCAATATTAATGGAACAAAAACAGGAATTGATCAAGTCAAAATGAGGATAGAAGATATGCTAAAGAATATCCATAGGAAAAAACACAAAATAGATAGACCTGGAATCGCTAAATACTTGAAAAAATTAACCGAGAAAATCGCTTTTGTTGAAAAGAACCACAAATGCTTTATTCAAATTGACGAGGAGGGGCCTACACAATTGACTGACTGTTTAGCTTCTGCTTCCGATTCAATAGGAAGAAATAGACCTTTCATAATAAACGAAACAGAGTATGAGACGAAAGCAGGTGTCATTATAAAAGTGTTTGTTGGGGACATGACCACTCTTCCCGTAGACGTGATTGTTAATGCTTCAAATCAAGACCTTCATCATCAGGGTGGGCTAGCTGGTGCCATTGTTTCGAGAGGTAAAATATATAAGTACAATTGTACAGAATGAAATTTCACTGCGTATATCACTTGATGAGTTCCTTAAAATTTAGCTAATGGAAACTCGGGGTTTTAGCACAGGGTCCTTGTAGCTCATTTTGTCTTTTCCCTTAAAGGTATCAGAACACAATTGCATTGTTTACTATTAAAGTATTTATGCCCATGAAAATTTAAAAACAAATTTTGTTTATTGAACTGAACTTACAATGTACTTGAATATTAAAATTCAATCACAACAGCATTCTTCTTCACATCAAGTAAAACATGAATGTCTTCAAACAGGACTAAAGCTCTATTATTATCAATGTAAACGTTTTATTGGGAGCGTTCCATTTGTTTAGTCCAAAATTATCAACTGAACGCAGTCTAATATTTAACTGAGTTGGGTTTGCTTTCTTGCATTTCTACTTGAATTTTCTGGATTATAATTTCAATTTTTTTATCAATACGCAACAAGTTTATTCTTTTACTAAGTATAAAGTTTAAATTGTGAGAGTTCATGATGAAACTTCAATATGCGGAGGATTCAAACGCTTCCCGAAATCCGGACATGTACATGTAGTTGCAATCATTTTCAGGTACTGAGTAATTAAAGTTTCTAAACAAGTTTTATTTCATTTTGACTTGAAAAAATCTAGCAGTATATAATTTTTAGCTCTACTGGTCAGAGACCAGAAGAACTTATGCAAAAGTAAAGTGTCCGTCGTCCGTCCGTCCGTCTGTCTGTCTGTAAACAATTTTTCAAAACTCTACTCTTACAGTTTTGGTCTGATTTCAATATAACTTGGCGCAGAAGTAGACTACACTAAGATACATAAAATAGTGCATCGGTTTTTGATTTTAATGAACTGTGTTGCAATGGTTACTAAAAATAGAATTTTCTGTGAAATTCCTTTAAAAAGCTTCTCCTTCTACAGATTTGATCTGATGGCAATGCCTTCTTTTCTCATCCTTTCTTTAAGTACCATACCAGTAGAGCTACATTCTTGACAGAGACTTCTGGTTGATAATATATTGAAATTTACAGAAAATAATCATTTCAAATCTATGTACCCCTTTTATGCAGTATTTTCCGTACAATTATCACAGACCTATTCCCTACAGCACTGGTCAGTAAGACAAGCAACACGTTAAAACACTTTTTCCGCTTAAATGAAGGTCTCTCGAACCTCTTTACTATTACACTGAGATATAAATGATGTGTCTTGTAAAAAAGAATCCTGTATATATGTAATCTGAAGAGTGAAGTAAGGAAAATTTCTTTTTATCTCAAATACAATGATGTAAAGAGGAAAAAAAAATCGAAGTACTCTTAGAAGATACACGTAAAATACTTTAATTGCAGTATTGTGTACACATACAGTCATAAGGTCCATGTTATAATCTCAGAGGATTAACAAAAAGTCAATTCGGAATGTAATTGATTTATAGATATTAACACTAAATATGACAATTATCTTTAGGTGGTGAATACATTCAACAAGAGTATTTAGACTATATAGGAAGAAATGGAAAGCTCAACGAGGGAGATACCTTTTGTTCAAAAGCGGGTTGCCTGCCCTGTAAAATGATTGTTCATGTTTGTGGACCAGTTTGGGCAGGTGGAAATAATCAAGAAAGCAGCTCTCTTACAGATTGTGTGGTATCAGCTTTGGAACAAGCAGAATCAAGGGGCTACAATTCCATTGCAATACCTGGCCTTTGCACTGGTATATTTGGTTATCCAATTAATCAAGCTACTTCTGTCATAGTTAAAGCAGTGAAATCACACATTAGTTACGAAAGAGGATCCAGTATTGAGGAAATAATTTTATGTGATGTTAGAGAAGACACGATTAAATATTTCAATGAGGCTGTGAAACAAGAGTTTAAAGGGAAACTCAAAAATGGAGATGACCATAAACCTGCAGATCTCCAAGCTAGCAAGGACAGTAAGCCAGTTATTTTACCAATATTAAGATCTAATCAAAGCTCAACTGGAACTATAATGTTCCAATTTTAAAGGAAATTCTGTAAGACTTCTAATGTTTAAATCTCTTCATAAAAGGATAGGAGATCCAGCATGTGTCTTCCAGTTTTTTGATTTTTTTTTTCAGTCTTTACGACATTTCTAGGTGATGTGTGTAATGATCAGATTATCTATTATTATACCTCAATATAAATATTCTACACAACGCGTTATCTGATTGGTTCTAGGTTATCACGTGATCGGGCCGTAAAACTTCATATTTCCCGTCGTCGGCACGCTTTTCATCATATTCCACCTCTTCGGAACACCTAGTGATTTTTCCCGCAATATAGCTCTCGTTCGTTGAACGAAAACTCCCGATAGTAGTAGACGTCACAATAGCCTGGTTTACGTCACAAAACTGATGACAATGTGTTGACCAAAGGGTTTCATAGTAACTTTACGTTAACAATGAAAGTGAATTTGAGAGCGGTGTCGAATTTGAAAGTTTATGTTTATTATACCCCCCGCTTGAAAAGCGGGAGGGTATATAGTAATCGTTAATTCCGTCCGTCTGTACGTCTGTCCGTCCGTCCGTCTGTCCGTCTGTCCGTCCGTCCGTCTGTTACGCTTTGGGGTACCCATCTCTTATCCGCAACTCCTCTCATACCACTGAATGAAATTTTATGAAACTTTCACAGAATCTTTATTACATATTGCCATTGTGCACCTCCTATTTTACTTTTTGATCCGACACATATTTTGGATTTCCCGGCCACAGGAAAACATGGACTTTTTCACCAGTTATAACAATATGGGAGGCGGGGGGTATCATTTAGTGAGCTCATCGCTCACAGTACCTCTAGTTTCAAATGCTTTGCTTGTTTCGGTATAATAAACAATTCATTGCATGAATGTTCGGGAAACATGAAGACTTATTCAGCCAAGAAATATCATATTCCCCTCGGGCGAAGCCCTCGGGGAATATGATTTTCTTGGCTGAATAAGTCTTCATATTTCCCTCACTATCATGCAATAAATGTATATTATTATAATGATTCTCGTTATATTTGTCGTGTTGTGTATACTTGTATCCTATTGAATAACGTTATAGATTTGGTTTTATACTATTATTTATACTATTAATTCAGTTTAAATAAAATTTAATACCAATTTCAAACAATCAAATGATTTCATTTCAGGACGAATTCAGTCACAAGTTGCAGAGTTTACAGTAGGTGGAGTTTGTGTCAGATTATTGAAAGACCGAATTGCTAACGCAGAGGTATGTGAAAAAAAAATGCGCGTTACTCAATTTGTTTGCACACACCGTTGCAGTTATGAGACTATACTAGTATATATCTTTCAAAAAAAAAATAATGATTCATTGCTTATATTTAATTTTTTTATTAACTTTCTACCTTAGCTGCAAATGTAATTTCTATTCAAAAACCTATGTATTATCCTTCGTGTAAGCTACATATGTACAGTTGATGTATCAGCCAACGTAAAAGCTTCTCGTCAATTTTAACGTGATAGTTTGATTTTTGCATGTGACGTTGCACTTCCTCGGCGTTCAAAAATTATGAAGTCAAACTAAAACGCATGCTTTTACCTCTTGACACCCTGTGTCTGTGTTATGGTGTTTTGAATGCAATAGATTTTCATTCACTTTATATGCAAAAAACTATGTAATGTAATTTAGATATTGATATTTATGGTGTAATTAATTTACAATATTTTACTAATATCCTGATGATGAAAGAAAACTAAATCTGCAAGGAAAATAAGAAATGTATACATAACTAATATGAAAGATTCACTCGCAAGATATTATACAATTATAGCCTTTTGATGAGGTCAATCCCTTGATATATAGACCTTAGAGAAAGCATATCGACCGAGCACGAAGTGCGAGGTCGATATGCTTTCTCTAAGGTCTATATATCGAGGGATTGTACCGAGGCTACAATTGTTTTATTATTTTTTATTAGTTAATAAGAAATGTCTTTTAATCTTTCTTTCTAATACTCAGCACCTTCTCATACAAGGCATTGTTATGTCATTGCATTATGACGTCACAGTAATGAAAACAAGCTGCAGTATCTGTTTTTAGAAACATCAAGTCGATAAAGACTATTGTGACGTCAGCACTATTGTTGCTTCACAGAAGAACGTTTCCAATTTTAGAAACAGCAGGTTTATAAATTTTTAAAATAGAAACACCCAGTCTGTAACACTTTTTATACTTGATCATGTGATCCAGTTTGAGCCAATCAGATAGTTGGAACAATAAAGAAAAATAATAAACTAGATTATTTTACAGTTTCCCTAGCATCCTTCACTGTTGATTTCAATGCATGATTGTCGACAATAATTCTTACATGAGATGTTAATTCTCCAAATATTAAGTATTATAACCATTAATCGAAAGACCACTTTAATAGTGTTTCACAATTTGAAGAAAAAAAAAACAAGCAAAAAGGAGTATATATGATAAGAGCCAATTTTGGCCCCCCTAAAAATTAACATTTTAGAATGACATTCAAATATGTTTAATTGATATTTATTTTGTAGAAGAGATTATATTAGAAATATTTCATATATATTTTTCACATTTATATGCACTCACTAGCTGTAAATGACATCAGAAATAATGTTATTTTTGCTATCTAACAAAAAAGCCAAAAATATGCCTTTTTCTTGATGTGTTTACTTATGGGAAACATAGAGCCCATTGTAGAACATACATATTTTTTCTGTCACTAATCAGTATTGGATAGATACATCTTTGGTAAAAATAAAAATCTTGTTCTAGACTGCGCTCTATATTTTCTGGAAGAAAAACTGCTTGAAAATAAACAGTTTTATACAAAATATGCTAAAATGGCGGGAAAACCTTATTTTTATGATGTCATATTTCTAAAATAACGGCATTTTAATCTAAATGAAAATGACCAATAAAGGATGCATACATAGCTGTACAAATTAAAGCTATATATAAAGTAAAATGAAGATATTCATTTTAAGGGGCCAATTGAGACACTTACCATATATCGCTCTTTGATTTTTTAAGATACAAGGACTGTTCCAAAAGTGCGACCTGTTTCAATCTTCATTTTATTTTCAAGAAATCATTGTCATAATTATGTATAAACATGAATTGTTTTGTTATTTTTGAACGTTTTTTGTTTTGTTGCATAATTCTTTCGTTTTATTGAATGCTATGTAACCTCGGAGCACATTGTTTAAAGCAAAGTCACGACTTTCTCAAAAGAAGCTCTCTTTAAAAGAGGCGGTGGAATGTCTTCTCTCTTTAATAGTTCCTTTATCATGGTCATCACTTAGCATTATGTTTACTAAATGTTTACTAAAGACTGTTTGTCTGTGTCTCATTACTATGCTTCCACACTTACACAATCCGCGACAGTGAAACAACCATGATAAATTATAAGGTCACCTGAGTCACTCAGGTGGCCTAGCTATTGCTATCTGTTTTGTCCGTTTGTTGTGCATCGTTCTTCCTGCTTTCACGTTTTAACATTTCCAGCCTCTTCTCTTAAACTGCTCAACCAATTTCAACCAATGCTGGCATAGCATTTATAGGTAAAGGGGAAAAAATTGTGAATTTCATGGTCCCTGTCCCCCTGGTGCCTGAGGGGAGTGGGGTAAAAGCTACTAAAATTAATGCAATCTTTAACAATCCTCCTCTTTATTCCTGGACACTAGGCAGCCAAACTGTTGGCATGAATGTAATAAGCATTGAATCATGCGAGGAGTAGGTCTTTCATTCTTTTTTTTTTTTTTATAAGTTCTTGACTGAGATGTTTCATTGAAAAGGAAAGAAAAATAATAGTACTATAGATGAAAAAAATTAATTTTTCAAATTATATTTCGATACATAAATGAGTTAAGTCTATCAATTTTATATGAATTCCGGTATGACCAAAAATGCTTAAAAATGAATTAAAACTCATCAATACGTGTTAAGCAATGATCCTTGAAAGTTTCTTTTTTATATATACATGTGTATTTTTCGGTGGAAATGGTATGATTTAAAAAAGAAAAAGGGAAAATCTACTATGTCACCTAAACCGAGTCCCCATCTTCATCTTTGAAAGAACCTTAACTTTCTGAGAAAAATGGGTGAACAAAACCAAATTTTAAAACATAAAATGTGCCGTTTATCACAACCGGAAGAGACGACAACAACATTAATAAACCTTCTAATTTAAGATTTCATGCGTCATCATCATCTTTGAAAATCGTAGGAAAATCTTGTCTTTTCAAAATCGTAATTTAAAAAAAAGATATCTTATTGCCAGCAACGAGTAGATCTTCTGTTTAATTTCTGATAAGATTTTGACTGGGATATTTTGATTGATAAAAGAAGGATGAATAACTTCAAGATGAAAGGAAAAAGGTACATGAATTCTTTAAGATTTTCAAAACACCGAAAAGATTGAAAAACTATTTCGTCCCGTTCTACTTCTTTTATGTCCGGAAGAGCTTAAAACAACTTCAAACTCATCATTATGTCCCTATTATAAACATTTCATAAAAAAAATGATAAAAGAATTACACATTCTTTATTACTTCCGGTGGACACGGGGTATGACGACAACTAAAAAATAAACTTTATTATATATGTAACAGTCCAGATCTATTATCCCTGAAAGTTTAAGGACTCAACAGGCGGACAAAATTGAATTTTGAAAACAGGAAATTGATCGTAACTCGCGACCTGAGTTGTCGACAGCAGAATTTCAAAACACGCCGTAAATTTAGATCATTTGTAACAATGCTGAACGTTTCATAAAAATTCTTGTTGAATCATTAGTACAAAAACGGTGAAAATAAATAATTGAGGAAAAGAAAAACAGAACACCTTATTTAACAAAAACTACATGTATAAGAGAGTTAATCATTACAGGTGGATGTCATTGTAAATACAACAGCAAAAGATTTAAGACTGAATCAAGGAGGAGTATCAGCTTCGATCGTAAAAATGGGGGGCATTGACATCCAGCAAGAGTGTAAGTCTAAATACCCTCGAGGCATCGAGTTCGGAGAGATTGCAGTAACTGGTGGGGGAAACTTGTATTGCAGATTTCTATTCCATGGGGCCCTACCAGGCTGGGACAAAAACTCGGAAGATAATTCCAGAAAGGTTCTTTATTGCTTAATTTTTTTGTTATAGTTTATAATACTGTGTTTTGATCAAAGTGTGATGAATTTATGCATTTTAAAAAATATTGGTTATTTAAAAAGACCCATATAACCTAGATGGCGGTACTAGTATCTGCAACCCATTTAAACTTTGGGAACAAATAGTCAAAAAAATATTCAGAAAAATGGACAATTTTCTTTGTCGATTTTATAACAAAATTTGATAGACTTTGCAAACAAATGCAAAGTCTATGAACTGTTATTATAAATCTTATAAGGAGCACAAACTACTATTGTGGGATGTGTGTCACACAGATAATTAATGCCGTGTAAATTGGTGACGTCGCTAAGATAAAAAGTTGGAAAGGTTTGAAATATGTTATTTATTTAAGGTACCTAGAGGTATAGAATTCTGATGTTCATTTCATTGCTTTAAAGGTGCTGCAAAAGTTTATGCAAAACTGTTTATCAGAGGCGCAAAAAAGGTCGATGTCTAGCATTGCTTTTCCTGCCCTAGGAACTGGTTTACTCAATTATCCGATAGATAGGGTTGCAGAGGAAATGTGTAATGCCATTGTCAATTTCTCTAAAGATAATCCAAATACTTCTTTGGAAAATGTGGCATTTGTTATTCATGAGAAAGACACAGCTATAATTCAGGTACTTGGATACATTGTTATACCTTTAAAGTAATTTTAATATGAAAGCATGCGACTTTGGCTATTTGGATTAGTTCGTTTATATTTACATGTAATAATTTAATTCATTGAAGAAATAGACAACATTGTTAAAAAGGTTCTCTGGGAAATAAACTTAATTGGTCACGTGATCAAATCCTGTGAAATTCGAAGGGCTTCTCAGTAGATTTGATCACTTACCAACTCAGTTCATTTCTCAGTGAACTTTTTAACATTGTTGTTTTTACTTATATTTACATTTAAGACGAATAAATTCCGAGTAAAAATTGCATTCACTACACGAACTTGTAGCCGTTTTCCTATGTTGTGACGCACAATGACCTAGAAGTTGTTTGGTCCTGCAAGTTCACCTCGCTCCAACATTTGAATGTTTACGTTCATGTTAAGCAGTCCAGTTCAGGAAGTCTTTGTTTATAATGGAAGAACAATGATCGCTGCCGAGAATAATCTTACTATTTCATGAGTTCTTAATATATTTGAAGTGAAAAGCGGGGGTGTAGATAGTTTTCGATAGGCCCGAATTTGGCATGAGTTACTTTCCGTTACCCGCTATATTGGAGGTCAACCTAGCGATTTTCCTCTTTATCTTACCAAATTTAGGAGGGTGTGGCACAGATATTTGGGGGATGGGGGTTGTATTTTTAAAATAAAATGAAATATAGGAGGTTTAAAAAATCCATATTCCTCATAGAAACAGTGTTTTCTACGAAAGCCGGATAGGCTCTTGTTTGCCAAGATCACAATAAAATTAACTCGTTAGGACGAGATAATTATCTCGTTAATACGAGTTAGCATCTCGTTATAACGAGTTAGCATCTAGTTATAAAGAGTTAATTATCTTGTTATCACGAATTATAGTTTTCGTGAGATAACGAATTAGTTACCTCGTTATAACGAGTTTCTTATCTCGTTATTACCAGTGAGTATCTTGTTATAACGAATTAGCTATCTCGTTATAAAGAATTATAGTTATCTAGTTAGAACGAATTATTACGGAAACGTATAACCGCCTCGTGTTGTTGTTTTAAAAATGTTGTCAAATACAATTACTTCAAGCTAAGGTTTGGCGATTTATTTACGACAACAATCTACGAAAGCGGAAATGGCTCTACACTTGTTGTGTTAACTTTGTATAGTGTCTTATATTTCATCGTCTTATCAACATATAAAGTGTTATACCTCCTTATTTATGCACAAATTTTAAATTGTATTAGGATTTCTTATCGCAAATCTTGCTTCAAAGTATACACTTGGACAAATAAACTATTGCGTTGAGTGACGACACTGATGAATCTGACTGAAATACAATTGCGAAATCCAACAAAGAATCTTATTGGTGCTTTTCTATAGGCCCACCCACTTTCACATGGAAACAGCTGTAAACAAGTGGTAGGCCTCTACTTACTGAGCGAAGACTTCGGAAGTATATAGTGGACCTAAATGTACATGTATGGTGTAAATGTAATACCTTATTAAATTATTGTGAGTGTGGGTAACCTGTATAATGATCTTGAATTCTTAAATAAAATCCGATCCAGAGCTGGCAGAAGTTGACTTAAAATAATACATGTCACCCATGGCATATTTTTGCGATTGAAAAACGGGGCCGTTTTCCAGTTTATTTCTTCAGTGCATTAATAAAACTAAAACGTACTTAAATTTGGAAAATGTATTAGTAATATTAATTATTTTATAGTGAACATATGAATAATATTGATTTATTCGCCATTACAGTAAAAAGTGCACTACATTTAAAAAAACACACAATGATTTCAACTTGTTTTAATATCACCATGACGACAGTTAAAAAAGCAGTAGCACACACACATTTGAAACATGGTTTTTTTGACAGTCGTGACAAAAAAACAAAAAAAAACCCAGTAAACTTTTGAATAAATCCAATGTTTTATCACATATGAATATATGTATTTTCATCATGTGCCCCGGTAGACCTCTACATAAGTTGGATAATTATGCTTTCTACGTAAGTACGCGGTACAACACCGAAAACGGAAAATGCCGTGAATAGAAAATTACTGTCATACAAGTACAATAAAATGAAAATAGGTGTGTCATCAATGCTATAAACATGTACTGTCTGTGAAAGGAATATATCACATGCTAAAAAGTGATTTTATAGTTTGTTTGTGTGTGTTTTTAGTTCAAAAGTCACCATCGATTTTCGACAATCATCAGGCCGTTGCACTACTGAATTAAATATCCCCTTAGATTCCAAAAAATCCCCTGTTGTCCCCCTGTCAGTCCCGGACATTTTCCTGTCTCTCCCTGACTTTCTCCTATGATCCCCTGTCGTTGTCCCTGCTCTTCCTGTCCAGTCCCTGTCGTCCCCTGTCGTTGTCCCTGCCTTCCCTGTCTACTCCCTGTCGTCCCCTGACATTCTCTGATCTCCCTGTCCAGTCCCTGTCGTCCCCTGTCGTTGTCCCTGCCTTTCCTGTCTACTCCCTGTCGTCCCCTGACATTTATTTTGGCCAAGAAAAGGAGTTTAAAAAATATTTTTGTTGCATTTAAGAATGAAAAAAGATATAGTCTTGAAAACTTTAAGTGTTTTTTTTTTGAAAATATAGACTCAGTAAAAAGTTAACACATTTTTAAATTCCTTAACTAAATCCCCTGTAATTTAGTTTCTATTACTTGTATCAATGTGATTTTTTTTAGTTTGGTAGCATTTCGGGGGAGAAGGGCAGAGAATTGCATCATTCTAAAGAAGAAATAAATTAGCAATTTATTGCATCTTGTGATGCAAGACGGCATATATAGTGTGCTTTATGCACCTTTTATATATATATATTTATAAACTTTTTCATTTTTTATTTGATCTACTTTGAAACATCTTTGAGTGTAATAACTGTCTTTGTAAAAAAAAAAACAACTAGATTTAAACATTTGGGAATACATTATCAAATCCATGCATAGGATATTTTGTTTTCCCAAAGAATGAAATGAATAAAAAAATTAATTGAAAGGAATTATGTATAAATGCATTAATAAAATAAATGGCTAATTAATAAATAAAAATTATTAAACAAACTATAAATCTATTTTATTCTCAAATCAACTGAGTTAAGAATAAATAAATAAATAAATAAATAAATAAATAAATAATGAGAATTATATAAATTTATTCATTTCTTTGTTTATTTTTTAATTTATTACTCATTTATATCCCCAAAATGTGTTCTAATGAGTTTTATCTTATCTATTTCCTTATTTATATTTGAAACTGAAATACAACAAATTAGTCAATCAATTATATCCGCAAGAAATTGTGGCATTTTTTAGAGGTTTTTGTTTTGTTTTTTGTTTTTTGTTTTTTTTTTTTTTGGTTTCTTTGTTTTATTTATTTATTTTTATTTTTTTTTTTGGGGGGGGGGGTATTTTACATAAACTGTTGCATACTCTGATGTGCTACAAAGTATTTTATTAGCATATTAAAACGACTTTTTATTACTTTAAGTCCATTATGGATATCAAAATAATCGTCTCATTATGCACAATATTAATCCGTCAATAAGATTTTTGATACTTTGTTTTGATTGAAAAAATCGGTTTTCAAAACCCTAACACCGTTCTGAAACAACATCAAAGCCATTGATGTTTACCAGTAATTAACTCGGGGTACACAGTCATAACACCTATTGTCTTTCTCACTGACCGCTATACCTTCAGAGTGACTGTTTACAGTTTGCAACTGTTTAAAATAACATTTTCTCTTAGTATGAGAACTTTTTTTTTTTCAATCAAAACAAAATAAAAGTATCAAAGAAGCTATTGACGGGTAAAGATTGTGCATAATGAGACGATTAGTTTGGTATCCCTTATGGAAGTAAAATAATTAAAAGCAGTTTTAATATGCTTCAAAAATACTTTGATACATATTTATCGTAAATCAGTTTACATTGAATATGCGAAACAATCCCATTTTCGGGTATTTGATTATTTAGTTTGCTTGTATCGTCAATTTTAAAAATACAAACATTGTTTTTATAATAATTACAGGTCTCCGGAAACATACGTAACAACTTTGCATAATCGCGAAGCAAACTAGTGCTAATTGTAACGGGGACCGTTACAGATGTTCCCCAAACGCTCCCCAACTCCCTTTTGGTGCCTATTTCCCTGGAAGCTTCATTAAATTAGACAAACTCGATGCATTTGATACTTAAAAACGTTTACCAAGAAGTGTACAAATTTCATTCAAATTTTAGCATTGCACGCGTGCGCATGTGAATGCATGTGCGTAATGACCATATCATCTTGTCTACACAATCTATATATTTTAATATACTTAATATTAAAGTATTTAATCCAAAAGTATTAAAAAGATACGCTCATTCAATTGTTTTTTTTTTATTTTGCTCATTTCACGTGCACGCACGTGCATACATGAGCATGGTGACCATACCTTCTTGTAGATGTCCGTTACATCTATCTATGTTCTAAATCCCACCCCGTTTGGTTGAAAACCATTGGAGTTATAGCTGTTTAAAGTTTCAGCCAATCAGATTGCCGTGCACGTACATGCACATGTATGCATGTGCATGGTGACCATATTTTCTTGTAGTAGTCCAGTATATCTATCTATGTTCCAAATCCCATCCTGTTTGGTTGAAAATCAAGGGAGTTATAGCTATTTAAAGTTTAAGCCAATCAGATTGCAGCGCACGTGCATGCACGTGTTTTCATGATAATTGCTATATATCATGTTGTAGGATATCCTAATGCATGGTTATTTTCAAAATTTCAAAGGATTTCGTCAAAAAACAAGAAAGATATTGAGACTTTAGTTTCAGCCAATCAGAGCAAAGCGCACGTGCATGCGCGTGAGATCTTGCTATTTCGACCATGTCATATTGTCTATGCTATTAATATATCCTGATATTATAAGTTTCAAAGCATTTCATCAAAAATTTAAAAAGTTACGCCTATATCAATTAAATCGGTCATTACACATGTAGCACGTGCACGCTCTTGCAAGCACGTGCGCGCAAAATGACCTTCGTTCCGCAAATCTACATAACATATCTACTGACCCTAAAAACATTTCACCTTAGTCGGATGTATAGTTTACGAGATCATTCCAGGACAAAAAAGTACCCAGGAAGAAGAAGAAGAAGAAAAATAATAATAATAATAATAATAAGAAACAGAGTAAAAACAATATGTTCCCCAACTTCGTTTGGGGAACATAATAACATATACACAAGACTTGTAAAAGTCTCCGTCTTCTAACTCATTCATAAAGCGTAGTAAACAGCCAATAAACAAACAGGTAAATTTCCGGCAGTTCTCGGAATCGCTCGTAACTTTCCGGCGTAAAAACCGGAAGTGACGCTATATCTACCATCGGAAGTCAGCGCGGTAAAAGAAAACTACAGTACTACTACATGGACATCAAAAAAAGACCTGCTTATCAGTAAAATATGGTGATTTGTGCGGTTGTGAATTGTAATAACAATCCAGAGAATACTGCTGGTGTGAGTTTTCACAGATTTCCAAATGTCAAAAAGAGGAAAGATCTTTATTTGAAGTGGATCTACCAAGTAAACAGAGTCAACCCTTCTTCGACAAACACTACGTTAGACAAATTATGGACCCCAAATTATCATTCTGTCGTTTGCTCCGACCATTTTACTTCGGACTGCTTTACGAAGAATCTATCTGTAGTGGAATCAATGAATCTTACAGGATTTAAAATAAGATTAAAGCCTGATGCGTACCCGACCCTACTCCTAGGTCCACAACAGCCACAAGTCGTCATACCAAGTATCAAGCCAGCTTTCAAAAAGAGGGAAGCACAGAGGGTATGTATTTATAGAAATAGGATTTGTTCACAAATTAAATAATGTATTATACCCAGCTTTTATTATAATGCTCACCTTATATTCATTTCTTGAATGGAGCGCAATACACAGTTCAGAATATACAGGCTAACAACAGGTTTCTGAATTTTCTCCACATTTAATTAGCATGGTTAATTTTAACATTTGATATAGGAACTTTCTAGAACAGAAAAAAAGACTTACACAATTAAAGGCAGAAATTTTGAATAGAGAACAGCATTGAACATACAACATAAACTAATTAAAAATAAAGTTTATTTTGAAATTCAGGATTCCTTATGCGGGAAATGTTTTTCTATGCTTTATTTCGCAAAAGATATGTGGAGCTGCCCATTTTTAGATAAAATAATGTTTTAATAAATTTCATGAAAAAAAATGCAACAAGCTCTTTCATTTATTTTGATGTTCGAGTTGTAGGTCATATCAGAGGCATATAATGACTACATGTGTCATCAACGAGAGGCTTTGAACACCCCGCCCCCTGAACCTGATTCAGATGATGAGATCCTTGAGGAAAACAATGAACATGATGAAGCTCCAACAGTTGGGGAGAAAAGGGATGCATGTATGCAGACCGAGATAAAAGTATTTTCCTATTTTCTGGAGATATTTTTGTTAGTTTTTAAATTTATGAAGATATCTTTTATCTAGGTAACAAGGTATATATGCAAAAGTTACAGTTTTTTTTTTAATTTTTTCTCTTTTTTTAGAAGGTTTATGTAAAGAGGATCCAGACAGAAGAGTTAGACTTGAAACCAATCCAGAGGACTATTGGTACAATGACAGATTTCTGTCAAACGCCAGTCCTGAAATCAACGGCAACTATGACGGAAGATGTGGTCCAGAAATCTGTGGGAACTGAGACTGATGCAGCAGTACTGCCCCTCCAGTGCAACAGTGAAGATCAACAAGACACAGACTTGGAGGACATTTCTGACGAGGAAGATGAAGATTGGCTTCCAGATGATGAATCTGATGATGACTTTGATGAAGCAATTGATGAACTGTAAGCATAATATATCTCCATCTTTCTAAGCATTTACTATAAATCTATATTTTGTTCTTGAAAAACTTTTTTATTTCCTTTAAATCTGATTTTATTGTAAGCAAAACCTTTTTAAAAGTCTGTTGCTCATTCACTTTATCTTTACTTTGAAGGAAATTTTAATATTATTTTTTGATGTTTCCAAGGGATATCACAGACCATCAAGAAGACCGAGCCCATAGAGAGAGGAAATACATAGTCTATGAGAGTTGCTTGAAAGAACTTTTGTCACCCTGTAGGAGTTGTCAAGAGCATTGCAGAGTTGTGATAAAGAGCAGGCTGGGGTCATTTGTGCGTTTGTTGTCTTCCTGCGCGGCTTGTGGATTTGTGTTCACTTGGGGTAGCCAGCCATTGACTTCCAGGCTACCTTCTGGGAACTTGGAAGTAGCAGGGAGTATTTTATTCTCAGGATCTAGTGTATCCAAAGCTCTTCAACTATTTAACAATATGAACATTATGTGCATTAGTGAAAGGACATTCAGGAATATTCAGAGTTCATATCTTATCCCTGCGGTGCGGAACGTCTGGATAGAGTACCAGACAGCTGCACTGCAACAGTGTGTTGCCAGAGACGTCAAAGTGGGTGGTGATGCTAGGTGCTGTAGTCCTGGACATTCAGCAAAGTATGGCAGTTATTCAATAATGGACCTTGAAAGTGGATTGATCTTAGCAGTTGAATTAGTTCAGGTAAAGCAAAATATGTTTTATATGAATTATTTCATACAATCAATATGCAATATTCCAATACTGCAAATATATAGTTAAATAGGTCAAATTATTTAAATGTGTACCAGAATTTAAAACAAAAATAAGTTGGAAAAACTGAAAGATTTCTTCAAATCCTTGTTTTGCAGGAAACAGAGACAGAAAACTCATACAGAATGGAGATTGAAGGTTTGAAGCGTTGTCTTCAGAGTCTTAGAGAAAGGAATGTCCGTATCACTGATCTCACTACAGACAGGCACATGCAAGTGAAGAGTTATATGGCAAAAGAAGAAACCTCAATCAGACATTGGTTTGATGTATGGCATGTTGCCAAAGGTAAATTTATTAAATAAAAATGATGTAAAGTTATGAATATGAATGTTGATAGCAAGTATTTCCAAGTTTATTGTTTTGTGCAATCAATCACATCATTGATATTTCATAATTTTGATGTAGGTATATTCAAGAAACTTCAACTGTTGGCAAAGAAGAAGGGCTGTGAAAAAATCAAAGACTGGTGCCACTCTATCTCGAATCATTTATACTGGTCTGCAGCGACAAGTGATGGTGATGGTGATCTTGTGGAGGAGAAATGGCTTTCCATTTTGAATCATGTGTGTGATATCCATGAGGGGCATGGGGATAGATTTCAGGCATTGGCTGATAGATCTTGGATTACCAAAGGTAAAATATCTCCACACTGGTCTTATAATACTCAATCATTTTTAGCTTGGCTGCAATTACATTACATGACGAAATATTATTGATTAAGTTTCATGTTTGTTGCAAACTATTTACCTTCATATTGAGTTGAACAAACAAAATATCGTGAAAAAAAAATGTTTAACAAACATTGGTACTTTATTTTATATTATAATGAATTTGTTTTCATAGGTTCCAAAGCTGACAAAGAGTTGCAGTTAATTGTTGGAAATAAAAGACTTGTGAAGGATGTCAGGAAACTTTCACCGGCACAGCAGACATCACAGCTGGAGGCTTACCACAAGACTGTGTGCCACTTTGCACCAAAGTTTCACCACTTCTTTTATGATGTTATGAAAGCAAGGTAAATTTATTTCATTTTATATCATTAAAATTACAATAAAAGTTTGTATAAACTGTTTTCTAAGTTCTGTGGGCTTAACATAATTACATATTGAAGTAACTGTAACATTATTTGTAATATCATCTTCAATTTATCAGTATTTTTTTCTCTCATGGTTTAGAATAATTCTTGCTGCAATTCATCAAAATGAAAACACTCAAAGACGACAAGCTGTTACTAAAGGTGGTGAACTAAGATGGAAAGTGGCTTACCCAAAGGCAAAGAAAGGTGATCACACCCTGAAAGCTGTGATGGACACATGTTCATATGGTAATGGAATGTCTAAGGAAATACCATTGGTATTAATAAGATAAACGATGTCATTATAAAGTAAAATCTAAATAACTCAGATAAATTGAAAAAAAAAATCCTTAACAAAAATAACATGATGACTGAATTGAATAAGTTTTCTTATTAGTAAATTTAACTTTTTTTCATTTTTTTTAGAGTATGTAGAGAGATTAATGGAGGAAGCCTTCGACCTAAGGAGAAGACATCCCTCGTATGAGGTAGCTCAAGAGACATTTCGTCAGGAATGCCCACCACCAATGGCTGCTTTTGGTAACCGAGTGGATAAAGGTGAAGCAGTCAGAAGATACCGGACACGTTTTAACCGTTGAAGCTGCTTGTAAGGAATGAAGAGACTGATGTCAATGATAGTATCACAAACCTCTAGTCCCATTTTCAAATATTTTATTTGTCAAACAAGTTCCTTTAATCTTCTTTGCTTTGGCATGTAAATGAATTACTTTTCCTTGATCATTTGACTATAGTCATCAGTAATACATGTCATTTTACAGTACAATAATTTGGTTGTTTTTTAATATTTATTATACAAAAACAGCTGCTGCCTTTTGACATTTTATAAATGTGGCATGTATATGTCTGTACAACAAAGTTAATGTCAATTACATTTTATATTGTTTTAAACAAGATAAAATCACTGTTACACTTTGTCACTTTTTGTCTTTAATAACGCTCAGTAGTCCCTAGGATACTGGAAACCTGTGTACTGCGATGAAGGGAATGGGGTACGAATGGCACTCACAACACATGCCGGGATCACTTTCCTGATTTTCTTACCAATGCGATGCCACAGCCATCTTGTGTATCTTCTATATGCAATGTAGCGGTAGAGTCTGAAAAAAATTTAAACCAGTAAAATCAGCACAGAAAAACAAAAATATGATGAAAATTTTTGTTGCACAAGGAAGTTTTATCTTTGTATGCTTTCTCATCGACTATTTTGTACCTTTTCATCATAATCAAAACAGAGATACGAATTTATATCAAACATTTTGAGCTGCCTTGTCTAATGACCAGGAATACATATTAAAACTTACTCATGCACTGGTTCTTCATCTCCTATTGGGCCATTGTAGTCTAGATACTCGTAGAAGGCGAGTTCGAGGACATGCTTATTGAGGCAATTGACTTGGAAAGCTTCGTGCTTTGTAATGCAGGTGATGTCTGCTTCTTCTAGTTTGAGCTGGCACACCCCAAAGCTGTGGCAACATCTCCTCTCTATGGCAGTTGGCATGTCAATACAGTTATGACAGTTGCACCTAAGAGAAAGTAAAAATATACACATTGCAGGGGTACATAAAAATAATTGTGATGTATATAATTTATTATAGATTTGTTGATATTTTTAATCATATTACTTTGTAAATGAGTTTCAGTATAATTATCTTGATTGCAAGGTAAATTGACAAACCATTTTAAAGTGAATTCAAAACAGATTAAAAGTAAGGCAGTCTAATAATGATAGTGTAAAAAGGCTATATCAGGCTAGTCATTACATGTGTTAATTATAAAAAAATAATTATCACTTCGGCTACTCATATAACCTCCCCAATTTTCATAATTAGCGCATAATTATATACACGCGGCAATTGGCTTGCGTGCACTCCACAATCAGTATAATTATATCAATCGTAATTACCCTTGAACTTTTAAAATTTTTTATCACTATTGACATATAAAAAATATATATTTTGGGTTGTTTAAGAGATTTTGAAAGTAAACTTCCGAGAATTTTAACGATCTGTCAGCCAGAACCTCTTTTTAAAATTCGTCAACCAAGGTTACGATTGGCGCTGTTCTCTGCATTCGTATCACTTTATCATGTGTAATTTCCTATGCGTGTCATTAAACAAGGGTTTTAAGAGTCTTATTATGCTTATCTTTTTGACGGAAAAGAAATAAAATCATTACAAACCATTCATCAACCACAGCCACGTCGATGTCCGAGTCTCGCTCTGAGTCACTTTCAGTTGAAGATTCTGATGAAGATTGGGGTTGTTCCGATCTTAAAGTTGGTTCAAATTGATACGGTTGTACTATAAATTGGATTTCTTCGGAGTGAACGTCTACCTCGGCCATGATTACGATTATATTAACCAAAAAGCGGCTTCGTTCACGTTGTTTTGATAAAGCTAATGGTAGATATTGCGTCACAGGTTGAATCAGCCAATCAGATCGCTCGATATAGACACACCCCCGCGGTCTATTTTGAGATATTCCAGGGGTTTTCTACAGGTAATGTTTACCGTGTCTAATCGACGCTCGGTGGTGAAAACTTGAAAACACTTCATTTAAAGTACAAACTACCATTTTTCAGCGAGAAATTGTAGATTTATTTTCATTGCCGGAGACCTTTAAACACATGCTGTTAATAAGTTTATTTTTTTTAATTTACTAACTATTTAAAATCAATTATTGATTTTTAATAATGGAGTGACTTTCTACCTTTTGTAAAAATAAAAAAAAGACAGCAGGGGTACTGGCGCACTTTGGAATATTTTAGTTTTTTTTTAAATCAATACAATAATTGATTAGTAAATAAAAAAAAAATAAACTTATTAACTGCATGTATTTAATCATTATAAAAACAATGTTTTTATTTTTAAAATTGACGACACAAACAAACTAAATAATCATATACCCGAAAATGGGATTTGTTTCGCATATTTTATGTAAACTTATTAACAATGAATATGTATCAAAGTATTTTTGTTGCATATTTAAACTACTTTTAATTATTTTACTTCCATGATGGATATCAAAATAATCGTCTCATTATACACAAGCTTTACCCGTCAATAGTTTCTTTGATATTTTTATTTTGTTTTGATTGAAAAAATCAGTTCTCATACAAAGAGAAAATGTTATTTCAAACAGCTGCAAACTATACACGGTCGTCCTGTCACAACATAAACAAGGTATAGCGGTCAGTGAAAATGATAATAGGTGTCATGACCGTGAACCCCGAGTTAATTATTGGTAAACATCAATGGCTTTGATGTTGTTTCAGAACCCTTTTAGGGTTTTGAAAACCGATTTTTTCAATCAAATCAATGTATCAAAAATCAAATTGACAGATTAATATTGTGCATAATAAGCTGATTATTTTGATATCCATCATGTACTTAAAATTATAAAAAGTCGTTTTAATACGCTAATAAAATACTTTGTAGCACATCTACGGATGCAAGAATTTATATAATTTTAAAGTAAAACTAAAGAAACACAATTTCTTGCAGAATGAATGATTCATTAATTTGTACTATTTTCAATTTCAAAAAAAAAAATAGAAATAGATTGATATTTAATTAATAATTTTTTTATTATTCATGTATTTTATTTTTTTTAATTTACTATGAATTTATTTCGCTGCAATCTGTTTTATTCGTTAAATACTGGTTTGACTTTTTACCATTTGTAAAAAAAAAATAAAGAAAGAAAAAAGAAAAAAAGAGAGAGAGAGAGAGAGACAGTAGGGGGTATTGGTGCATTTTAGAATAATTAAGTTTTTAAAATAAATACAATAATTGATTTTAAATAGTTAGTAAACAAAAAAGCCAAATAAATAAATAAATAAACTTATTAACTGCATGCATTTATTTATTATAAAAACAATCTTTTTTTATTTTTAAAATTGACAATACAAACAAATTAAATAACAAATATCCGAAATGGGATTTTTGGGGGCTTTTTTTATGTAAAACGATTGACGGAAAATTATGTATCAAAGTATTTTTGAAGCATATTAAATCTGCTTTTAATTATTCTAATTCCATGATGGATATCAAAATAATCGTCTCATCATGCACAATCCTTAACCGTCAATAGCTTCTTTGATACTTTTATTTTGTTTTGATTAAAAAAAAAAATTAAGTTCTCATACAAAGAGAAAATGTTATTTCAAACAGTTGCAAACTGTACACGGTCACTCTGAACACAACATAAACAAGGTATAGCAGTCAGTGAGAAAGACAATAGGTGTCATGACTGTGTACGTCGAGTTAATTACTGTTAAACATCAATAGCTTTGATGTTGTTTCAGAACCGTGTTAGGGTTTTGAAAACCGATTTTTTCAATCAAAACAAAGTATCAAAAATCTTCTTGACGGATTAATATTGTGCATAATGAGACGATTATTTTGATATCCATCATGTATTTAAAATAATAAAAAGTCGTTTTATTACGCTAATAAAATACTTTGTAGAACATCTATGGATGCAAGTGTTTATATAAAATAAAACTAAAGAAACACAATTTCTTGCAGATATAAATGATTCATTAATTTGTTGTATTTTTAATTTCAAAAATAAATGAATTAATATTTTATTAATAATTTTTTTTATTATTCAGTTATTTTATTTTTTCTTTTTACTATGAATTTATTTCGCTGCAATCTGTTTATTCGTTAAGTACTGGTTTGACTTTGTACAATTTGTTAAAAAAAATTAATAAAAAAAAAAGAAAAAAAAAGAGAGAGACAGCAGGGGTTATTGGTGCATTTTGGAATAATTAATTTTTTTTTAAAATCAATACAATTATTGATTTTAAATAGTTAGTAAATAAAAAAAATAATAAATTTATTAACTGCATGTATTTAATCATTATAAAAACAATGTTTTTATCTTTAAAATTGACGATACAAGCAAACTAAATAATCAAATACCCGAAAATGGGATTTTTTGGCTTATTTTATGTAAAACTATTTACGCAAAAATATGTGTCAAAGTATTCCTGAAGCATATTAAATCTGCTTTTAATTATTTTACTTCCATGATGGATATCAAAATAATCGTCTCATTATGCACAATCTTTACCCGTCAATAGCTTCTTTGATACTTTTATTTTGTTTTGATTGAAAAAAAAATTAATTTCTCATACAAAGAGAACATGTTATTTCAAACAGCTGCAAACTACACACGGTCGTCCTGCCACAATATAAACAAGGTATAGCGGTCAGTGAAAAAAATAATAGGTGTCATGACTGTGTACCCCCGAGTTAATTACTGGTAAACATCAATGGCTTTGATGTTGTTTAGAAATGTGTTAGGGTTTTGAAAACCGATTTTTTAATCAAAACAAAGTATCCAAAATCTAATTGACGAATTAATATTGTGCATAATGAGACGATTATTTTGATATCCATTATGTATTTAAAATAATAAAAAGTTGTTTTAATACGCTAATAAAATACCTTGTAGAACATCTACGCATGCAGGTGTTTATATAAAATAAACTAAAGAAACACAATTTCTTGCAGATATAAATGATTCATTAATTTGTTGTTTTTTCAATTTCAAAAATAAAAAGATTAATATTTTATTAATATTTTTTTTATTATTCATTTACTTTAATTTATTTATTTACTATGAATTTATTTCGTTGTAATCTGTTTTATTCGTTAAGTACTGGTTTGACTTTGTACCATTTGTTCAAAAAAAGAAATAATTTAAAAAAAAGACAAGAAAGAAAAAAGAGAGAAACAGTAGGGGGTATTGGTGCATTTTAGAATAATTAATTTTTTAAAATCGATACAATAATTGATTTTAAATAGTTAGTAAACAAAAAAGAAGAAAAAAACTTATTAACTGCATGTATTTAATTATGATAAAAACAATCTTTTTTATTTTTAAAATTGACAATACAAACAAATTAAATAATCAAATACCCGAAAATGGGATTTTTTGGCTTATTTTATGTAAAACTATTTACGCAAAAATGTGTGTCAAAGTATTTTTGAAGGATATTAAATCTGCTTTTAATTATTTTACTTCCATGATGGATATCAAAATAATCGTCTCATTATGCACAATCTTTACCCGTCAATAGCTTCTTTGATACTTTTATTTTGTTTTGATTGAAAAAAAAATGAGTTCTCATACAAAGAGAAAATGTTATTTCAAACACCTGCAAACTACACACGGTCGTCCTGTCACAATATAAACAAGGTATAGCGGTCAGTGAAAAAAATAATAGGTGTCATGACTGTGTACCCCCGAGTTAATTACTGGTAAACATCAATGGCTTTGATGTTGTTTAGAACCGTGTTAGGGTTTTGAAAACCGATTTTTTAATCAAAGCAAAGTATCAAAAATCTCACTGACGGATTAGTATTGTGTATAATGCGACGATTATTTTGATATCCATCATGGACTTAAAGTAATAAAAAGTCGTTTAAATATGCTAATAAAATACTTTGTAGCATATTTCAGCAAATAAATAAAATAAAACTAATAAATCAGATTTTTGGGAATATAAATGAGTGATAAATTAAAAAATAAAAAATAAATGAACAAATTTATATAATTCTCATTATTTATTTATTTATTTATTTATCTATTTATTCATTCATTCTTAATTCAGTCGATTTGTAGATTTATTCACATAAGAAAATAAATGAATAAAATATATCTTTAGTTTATTTAATAATTTTTTTTTATCAAATAGACTTTTATTTTATTAATGCATTCATATATCATTCCTTTCAATTAATTTTTTAATTCTTTGGTAAAACAAAATATCCCATGCATGGATTGATAATGTATTCTCAAATGTTTAAATCTAGTTCTTTTACAAAGACAGTTATTACGCTCAAAGATGTTTCAAAGTAGATCAAATAAAAAAAAGAAAAAGTTATAAATATATATAAAAGGTCCATAAAGTACAATGTATAAGCCGTCTAGCATCACAAGATGAAATAAATTGCTAATTTATTTCTTATTTATAATGATGCAATTCTCTGCCCTTCACCCCCGAAATGCTACCAAACTAAAAAAAAATCACATTGATACAAGTAATAGAAACTAAATTACAGGGGATTTTGTTAAGGCATTTAAAAATGTGTTAACTTTTAAGTAAGCCTATATTTTAAAAAAAAACTTAAAGTTTTCAAGACTATATCATTTTTCACTCTTAAATGCAACAAAAATATGTTTTAAACTCCTTTTTTTGGCCAAAATAAATGTCAGGGGACGACAGGGAGTAGACAAGGAAGGCAGGGACAACGACAGGGGACGACAGGGACTGGACAGGGAGATCAGAGAATGTCAGGGGACGACAGGGAGTAGACAGGGAAGGCAGGGACAACGACAGGGGACGACAGGGACTGGACAGGGAGAGCAGGGACAACGACAGGGAATCATAGGAGAAAGTCAGGGAGAGACAGGAAAATGTCAGGGACTGACAGGGGGACAACAGGGGATTTTTTGGAATCTAAGGGGATATTTAATTCAGTAGTGTTGGACGCTTTCCAACTCGGGCAAAGGATACTGCACGAGAGTGGGCGGGTCCTAATCAACCAATTAAAATGCTTGTTTTTTTGGAATGAAACCCGTGATTCAAATTGTTCAATTGTC